GTCACTAACCAGTAGGTGGCAGTAGTGTTCTTTGACAAACATGGATGCCTCCAGTAAAGCACATTCACATGAAAATTACTCTGAATTAAAAACACGGATCATTTATTGAACAGGATGGAATCATTTCACATTTAAAGAACTTTCAGGAGTTTGAATTCTTTTCCTTTAAGAACTGCGCTCTGAGGCCATTTCAGGTCTGATTGGTTTACGTCTGAGTGTAGCGTCCAGGTCAACGAGGTCACAGAGTCTGAACTGGCGTTTGCAATCACTCTCTCTGGCCTCTCCAACATGTCTGCCTCACCTCAGTGTCGCCTCTGCAGAGCTAACGCTCTAAAACCTGGAAAACTCTGCGCTCAGCCGACAGCATCATGAACAGACAGCCTCTCTGGGCTCTTTTGAATGGTGGTGCTGTGGGACCGTGCTCTGACTGAGTTACACCAACGGATCAGGTCAGCTGACCGGATCGCTGTCAGGCCCAGAGAATTCAGCAGCTCAGTATCCGGTCCACCTCAGGCCGTCTGCTGGTTTGCAAGCATTAAAACGGTGACCTTCATCAATTAAACTTTGTTTTTAATAAACTTCAAACACTTTAATGGGTTTCATGGACCGCTGAAAGTCATCAGAAAAAGGTAGAAAAATTTCTAATAAATGTATTTGCTCTAAATTCATGCAGGTAAATAATAATGATATTAAAATAAGGTCATTAGATTTTATACACTTATAAGAACATAATGCAGTGCTTTTTATTTTAAACGTAAGCCATCTTATTAACCTTACCTGCTGGAATTGAGGGAAAATAAATTTTTTTAAAAATGTTTGGCGGTGTGAGAACAATTAAGTGTTATTTTGCGAAGCTTCAGGTTGGTTCTGGAGCCGCCGGTCTCCTCTGTGCTCTTTGTTGGTTTTTTTTCCTTTAGCTGCTGGTTATATAACAGCTCAACTTATGTAATAACCTGGAAGTGAAGCAGCTGATGGCAGAGCAGCACTTTGTAAAATCCTAACCCTTTATGATGATTATGAACTGTTTGAGTTTATGGAGGGTTATTTGATTCGTCCTTTTCTAGTGTTTCTGCTCCTGTTGTCGCTCTCAGATTCTCTCTCAGCTCCATCTGCCTCCTCAGCTGTTCCTCCGTCTCACCCATCCTCCCATAGATGATCTCCTTGGCCGTCGTTACTCGTTGCTGGTTTGTTTTGTTGTTTGGTCTCCTGCTCAGTCTTCTGCGGTTCGCTCCCCCGTGTAAGCGCCTTCATTAAACCCCCTGTAGTTGATCAAACCTCTGGACGTCGTGGCGTGCAGGTTGCCGGGTTACAGATAAACATCCATAAACGGTTTGGTCCGGGTCTTCTCGTTAAAGATGTCGACTGAATTTTGTATTTTTCTTTTGTTTTCAGAATTCAAAGAGCGCCCAGGGTCTGGTAGGACTGAAGAACTTAGGAAATACTGTAAGTAAACCTGCATCCCCCCCCCACCACCACCATGCACACACGTTACTTCTATCCCTATTAATACTTTACATTGATTACATTTAATTATAATCCGTTTCGTTAACTTTTTATTTAATTTTTTTAATGGAAATTTTTTTCCATTTTAAAATCTAATGTTATTTTCTTTCTTTTTTCTGTCTTAATGTTGGCAGTGGGCTTTAGGCTGCCCTGCAAGGCTTTAAACCTGGGTTT